GTGTGACCAAAATATTTTCTATTTTCTAAATTTTGATCACTTGCAGCTAGTAGGGTGTGATGAGCAAATACATTTAAAAATTCACAGTATTTTACGTAATTAAGATCATTGAGGTACAAAGTGAATAAAAGTGGCCTCAAAGCACTTCCCTAGGGTACACCCGAGGATACAGGAATTTCGTTGGAAAATACATTGTTTATTTTAGTTTTTTGATATCTGTTTAGAAGCTACAGCTACAATATATTTGTTTTCATCAACCATTAACTTCCACTTACTCAACGTCAACTAAAGAGCTGTTTCGCACGAATGTTTTGCAGGAAAGCCAGATTGGTAGGCAATTAAAATGTTATTATCTTCAACATATTCACAGATTTGTTTATAAGCTGCCATTTCTAGTACTTTTTCTAAAGGAGGTAAAATATTTATAGGTCTAAAGTTAATAAGTTCATTGTTATTACTAATTTTGGGAATTTGCACAATAATAATTGTACTTTACTTAATCTGAAAATCTGCTTATAATTAGGGAAGTATTGATAAAATTTAGAATAATATGGCCAATGACTGAAAATATAGATTTTATAGGTTTGTTGTTAATTGCTTCTGAATTACACTTATTATCTAAATTAGAAATAATTTCTTATAACATATTTATTGTTAATGGTGTTTTACTCAATTTCAGGTAGATTCTCGTCTGTCCATATATAAAATAAACAATTCAGCTATTTCAGTGTCTGATTTAGCAATATGATTTCTGTCATTTATTTGAAAGATAATTTCTCCTGTAACCCTTCTGTATTAGTATTGATGAAAGACTTTAATTTTTTTAGTGTCTTGGCAGTGATCAATTGCATTTTCGAAATGTAGACACTTGTTTTACTAAATTTAATTAACTAAATAAAAAGAAAAAAAAAGAAATATTTTTATTCTTCTAAAAAATAATAAATTTAAAAAGATAGTAGAGATTATACATGAATCAAATTCAACATTATTCAAATCTGAATATTCGTTCAGTTGAACGAATGGCATACTTTTTCATTTGTAGTCTGTGCATAGAATAGTTGGGTGTAGAAAAATCATGTCAACATTCACCTAGGTATATAATTTGCAAATTTTGTAAGATGATAATATATGTAAGAATGTATTCATGTAACTAAATGCAGTTACAGTGGCCTTAGGTACAAATCTTGTAATTTTTTAAAACTCCTCAAATGTATAAAAACTGTTTTTTTATGTTTATTTGGGACAGTTTCACTTGAAAAAAAAAAAACCATTGAAAACTTAAAAAGTAATATTTCTAAATTTTCACTCAGTTTATTATTCACACATGCTAAATAGGTAATACAATAATTGTAACCTAAAATATGAAAAGAAAAAATGAGTGTTCATTCAAAACCAGACATGTCCACACAAAGTAGTTTCGAGAAAAACACGAAAATATTTTTAGTCCTATGTCCTTAAAATTATTCAAATTATGAGAAGTTATAGAGGTTAAGTTGATATTAACTTTTTTTACTCTTTCAGGCATCCCTCTGCTTGACGCTTGACCCCCCCCCCCCCCCCCAGTGTGAGCACAGCTGGGTGTAATTCATAGTTAAAAAGAAATTAATAATTACAATTGTTTTTTATGTAATTTGTAATTATATTTAAGAACTTTTTTCCCTCAAAGTAATTTGGAATTGTAATTGCAGCAAAATCTGTAAAGGAATTGTACTTTGTAATTATATTATGTAAATTGTATAAATACAATTACTTGTCATAAGTACAATTACTTTTCCAATTACAATTACTTTTTTTTTTCAATTACATTTATAATTACAATTACATTTTTTAATTACAATTACTTTTAAACGCGTGTTTGTGAGATGCACGTGATATAAAAACAAGAAATTTCCTATTCGAATCGGTCACTAGAGCTCGGACTCGCATCCATATCATTTGTTTGAATGCGTTTGAGGAAAGCGTTGTGTCGTGAAGCAGTGAAATTGTTCAATCCAAAATAATAACAGTAAGGGGTAAGTAGATGGAGATATTCTTATTTTTAAGATGTATTTTGTATTTACATTATTATAAACAATTTATGTCACACAAAGATTATATACTGAGAAAATATAGTATGAAGTGGTGCAAATAGCAGTTTTTATGCGGTAAATACAAAAAAAATACTTATTTACGTTGCGTAGGTATTTCTAGCTATTATTCTAGTTTTCTACATTGAAATGAAAGATTAACTATTAATGAATAGCACTTGTAACGGAATACAATTATATTTTATGTTATAAGAAATGATTTGAAGATGTAGATCTGGTTGTGGGTCAGTATTGGCGCTGATCGCTATTGAATGTTTGTTTTTATTCACTTTCTCGATGGAACCCCCCTCATAGTTCTCAAAAACCCCTCCCATGAAAAATGGCTGCTACTGCTAACCAATACAATTTAAATAGGGAAAGTACCAAGTATGACACATCGTCGGAAAGGTAATTTTATGGGGAATTCAGCAATGATTGTTCATTGCGTTCATTTTAATTTTAGCGCCCTCTAGCGGGATAAAAAAATATTACCTTATGGTAAAGTGACACTTCATTTGAAAGGTAATTTTATTATTACTACAACCAAAGATATTATAAATAAAGACTTTTTGATTTCAATGAAGGCGTAACACCTTTGGTTGTACAAAAAAATGGGGTACAGTTAGAAGTGTTACAATATCTCCATGATTTAAGAAAAAATAATATGATGCTAGACAGCTACGGCACTTCCTTCTTCTGAGCCCGTTGAGAGATTATTCTTCTTTGCCACAATTGTCAACGCTCCCAGAAGGCATGCGCTGTCCGACAGAAATTTTGAAAAACTTTTTGTTATGAAAAGTAACAATGTAAACATTTTATGAATAATTATAACTAGATCTTGCAGATCAGGCGTCATTACTTTTTGCCTGCTTGATGAAAAGTAAAAAATATTAATCATTTTACACCAAATATTTTTCTTACATTCTGTGGTCTACTCTTGTTAAAAACTATGTTTAGAGTATCATATTTGAAAAATTAGTTTTAAACTTTTATGAAGTATCCTAAGCTTAAACGACAAAAATAGAAAGGTATCACTGTAGTTCCTTGGAAGCACTATACATACTGACTCCAACTCATAATATATCTTACCTTTTGAGGCAGTTTAGTGGGAGGCAATATTTAAGCGCACCCAGCCTATCTACTTGACGACCTCAGCTGCCAAGCATTATTATTTATGTACACAAAAATGTCATTATTATATATTTTTCTGTCATTATGGAATTGCCTATTTTATTATATTCATATACATCCTCTTACAAACTCCTATTTTATTTACAAGATGGGATCCCCAAAGTTAAAAGATCCCACAATCCCATAATTTTTGTCAAGAGTTGATTACCACACATAATGTAAATAACATTAGTAAATAACTATTTTATCTTTTTGATTAAACGTCCCCAGACTAATGATGCCCGATTTATATGGAATGATTAGGTAAGATATAAAAGTACCTATGCGTAGGTACACGAACTTTTGTATTTTTGTTCCAAATCAATAAACTTTTAAAAGTTCACATTTTATTATTAACTAACCTATTCCATTTTTTATACTATTTATCGATTTTGTATTTTCCCTTAAGTTAAGAAGACCTTAAATGGTACAGAAAACAATACACTTAGGGCTGGTTGTATAAACTTTACTTAAAATTAAGCTCAGTTTTAGGTGATACATGCAATTTCCGATGCTATATGTGCAGTCTATTGTTTGCGGACACAAGCCCTAAGTGCTAAATGATGTTTAGACTGTACCTATGTCATACAAAATTTATCATATGTCACCTCAAACAGAGTTTAACTTTAAGCAAGATTTATACAACCCGCCCTTAAGATATCTTTAACTTTAAGGAATCCTTAAGAAAGTCGTTGCAAACAGCTGTTAATTTGGCACTTTGAATTCTCTGAATTATCCATTTAAAAATTTTATTTGTACCAGTCCGGTTGGTCCATGGTTCCTCAATTCTATCATAATTTGTTTTATCGGCTAAGTAATTATAAAAATAATTGCTAATTCATTTTTTGAAAAGGTAATTATTTTTAAAGTAGATGTAATTACCCAGCAAAGAGTACAACAAACTCCCCCCAATCACGCTTGGGTCCAGCCACTGGCTTTCCTCAACCAACCTTATGGTCCAATCTGATTTCCTTCTTCTTGAGGTTTACATGGCAGCACTGGCACAAAGGTGGACTATTGTGCCACCATTTGGATGCCCTACTCCTTTCCATTCATTATTCATTCACGACTTTTTTTTTAGTGGAGTATAAAAAACTTGCAATACACACATACACAAATAAAAACAGCTGTCAACATATGATTGACTGTCTTGTTTTGAAAGAGTAGCTGAAACTTATTTTAAATCTGGATTTGTCTGATTTTGATGAGGTTTATATGCATATTTAAATGGATTAGGTTTGATTTTGAACGATTCTAATTTCAGGAATCGATAGAAGCCAGGAAAAATACCAGCAATTTATATCAATCGCATTTTGTGTAAAGTGGAAGTGGACATGCCTAATTTTGAATAAACACTCTTCAAATGTTAATTTTTGCAAAACATTGACTCCATTTTCTATTCACATGAAAAATTGTATAAAAAAAATATAGAAATTGTCTTAATGCAATTACATCCATTTGCATGCACAATAACAAATTATTGTTAATTAAAAAGTATGCCATTTATTAAGAACATTTCTATTTTTTTTTTTAGCCATTTCTAATACACATAAAAAATTCAATTATACCTACCAGTTTACTTCTGTTGCACTGCAAATTTTTGAAAAATATATTAATTTGTAAAAAACCTTGTGAAAAATTGTTTCATTTCATGGAATCAAAAAAAATCTTATTTTGTTCAATAGGTAACTATTTTCATTACAAATTGGAAAACAAATTTAAAAAGATATCAGAAATAAAACTATTTTTCGTTTTTTTACTTACCAATGGCATATCTTCATCACTATCTTCCTCCTCTTTAACTTCCACTTTTATTTCAGTTTGTGATTCGCTCTCTTCATTTTCAGAAAAAACAGATTCATTTTTCTTGAAATGAGACAAATTATAGTCACAGCTACTTGCTGCTGAAACATCAGCTTGAATAGGCTCGTCTGCCTCATCCTGACTACTTGGTTCATCCTATGTAATATTAAATGTAATATTAAATCCTTTCGTAAATATTATTATATATTTTTACCTTGATAACAAGCTTGTCATCATCATCATCTGTACTCAGATTAGCTTCTTCCTTCAAGTTTATTTCTATTATTTCTTTTTTGTTTACTTTAGGCTCCTCTGCGGGGGTTGGTTTCACCTTGGAATCTTCTTCTGAAAAAGAAGTAATGTTTGCTATTTTAAATTCCAAAGCTTTTTTTACTAGCTAAAAACTATTTTGTTTCCAATAAAAGGTAACCCCAAAAAAGCACAATTGAGTAAGATTTTTTTAAAAGATTAATGTCAAAATGTATTTATAAAAATTTTAATAGTGACTACCATAAAATTTAAAATGTATATAAAAGAAAATAAAATGAATAACTATTACAATAATTTAAAAATAACTACTTAAATCAATTATAATACACAGTCAATATAGTTTTAGATTTACCTACTCATATATAAACGAAGAATTTTCATTTTTCAATTTGAAAATAGTTTTACTAAAAATTTTAAATGTAACAGGAATTTAGAAACTGACTGTTTGTCAAAGTTGGATAGTTCGTTTTGACCTAAAAGGTGTCAACGTCAACTGTCATTTGGTATGGAAAACAGTGGCGTATTTAAAATTCGTTCTAGAGTTGGGGCCCCTGTTCAAAAATGTGTTGGTGAAGACACAAAGCAACTTAAGATTCTATGAATAAAAATGATTAAATGAAACATACTTAGACAAACAGGGTGTTAAAGTTGAAAATTTAAAAATTATTAATGACTATATTTTTTTTATTTCTCAGTATAATTTGACTAAATTCGGTAGTAAATATTTTTAGTATCATGAAATACACCTACCAGTGGCGTACGGCATGAAGAGGTAGTACCTTCATTCCCTCTAAATGTTACACCACTGTTCAATAACTTATTTGGATTATACTTTTATATTTTATGTTTTTGAAATAATGCATGTATACTTCATACAATATAAAAACCAATGCACGTCATCGATAACGTATTTCCTCTACTGCAATAATACCAACGAATGAAATATTACGATTTGAAGGTTTGACACTAGTTGAATTGGCGTGCGTATTTTTTAGAAATTACCTGTTCGTTATTTATTTTCTATCATATCATGACGATAAATATTAATTTAATTCTTTTTCTGATTTATTTGCATTGAAGATAAACTATTACAAGTATAAAATTGTATTTATCATCCTTATTATGGTAAAAATCACGTTATTTTTTAATTCTATAACATTCAATTCCTACGCCTATGAGTTTTAAATTGTATAATGACAGCTAAGTTTATAATACGCTAGTTCAGTGATGATGTAATTTTAGACTAGGTAATAAAGAAAGGACGCGTAACAAGTATATCGAGCACACGTAGTATTCTGTGTTAATTATCTATTGGCCGCCATTATTTTGGTGCCAATAACTTCGGTGACACTAAAGTTTTTGTTCTTGTTTATTTCTGATTTTTGAATTAAACGACATTTAATAATTGGTTTATTACAATGGTTTATTGTGTGGCATATCAGTGTTAAAGTTATAGCGGCAAGAAATAAGCAGATATTACGTTTTACAGGTAAATGATAAACATCAATCGTTTTCACTTTATATATTTTCTTATATTTTTAATTTTATTTGGTATTATACAACTTGGTATTTACATATTGTACGTTTTTCACTCCAGAGTAATAAATTTTACCCACCAAGTTTATTTATTTTATGCTTTTCATTGATATTTAAGCAATTAATGGTATTAAAATGGCCAAACATGTAATTTTTTCCAGTGGCGTGTCGTACAATTCTAAATATTAACTTTTATTAAATCCTAATTTACTTTTGCTTCTTATTTAATTGCAGCAATGTTTATTTGTTTTATTTTATATTTCCTGTGGACCCAGCAAAAAAAAATCTTTGGATTAAGGCAACGAAAATTGCAAATTGTATGCCTACTAGGGTGGCGCAAAAAACCGACTATTTTTTTTTTGAGTCTCGTACGAAAATATGTTAATTTATCGTTTTTAAGACCCCTCTCCGAAGGGTAGCTCAAAAAATTTTTAGGGGTCGCCCAGGATTTTTCAAAATTACAAAATTAGTCAAATTTCAATTTTTTTTTATTTATATTTTTTTGCTCGTGACGGTAGAATTTTGTACCCCAAAAAAGAAAAATGTCTCAATTTTTTTAGCTCAAAATATGAATTTTTAACGGTCACTCATAATTTTTTATATACAACATTATTGCTTTTGATGTTTTCGAGCGACCTTTGAATCTTAATATTAAGAATTAATTTCAATTTGTGCTTTTAAGTAGCAAGGTAATAGATCAGAATTCATCACGAGACAGAAAAAAAATCCAATACAATGAAAGCCTAATTTAATAAATCGAATTTGAACTAATTTTGAAATTTTTAAAAATCCTGAGCGACCCCTAAAAAATTTTTGTTTGAGCTGTCCTTTTGGAGAGGATCTTAAATCATGATAAATTGACATATTTTGGTACGAAACTCAAAAAAAATAGTCTGTTTTTTGCGCCACCCGAAGCCTATGCAAAATGAGCGTTCAAAACATTTTGGAAGACTTTTTTTTAATGGGACGGACTGTAAAAGACGTTTACTAAATGTAGCAGTTCCCACTATATTTCCTAAATTAAATATATATATATTTTTTTAATTACTTTTCCTTATTATGTTATGAACTTTTAAGAATTTAGCAACCCTTTTGTGTTTAATTCAAAACATTACCGTAATAATTGATCGTTTGTAGTACTTAAAAAGAAAAGCTTTGCATTTGGAAGCTGAGCCAGGCCCTTCAAATAAGGAATCTATCCTAGAAAGCCCTAGCGTAAAACGGCTTAGAAGACAACTTTTACAACAGGTAGAAAAGAATAAAAAAAAAAGTTATTCGCTAAAACTTCTTGTTATTGTACCAAATTAATATTAGTTAAGGGTCAGTAATAAATTTATCTTCATTTATGTATAATTTTTCTTACTAGCTTAATTTAATAATATCTAGAGAGCACACTACATCTCAAAGACGTCCAGTTCATGTCTTACTTTCGTCCAAACGTCCTGGTACGTAAAACGGACGGTTTTAAGATGCGCTGCTCAGGACACGTTTAAAACGTCTTTAGGACGTTTTATATATGTGGGTAATGTGGACGTTCAACTCTTTTCGTTATATTTGAATATGGCGCCACGACAGCGTTCTTAGCGCTGCCTGCAGCGCATGTATATCGTCGAGTATCGAGTCATGTTCTTCCTCTAGTTGCCTTCTTCTCGGGACAGTCACTGTATAATATTTTTAGAGTCAGTCTGTGGACATTGTCATTACTTTTTCGTGGTTGTGTGTTTTTTTTATATATATTGTTTTTTTATATTATTTATTTCGAGTCATGTTCTTCCTCTAGTTGCCTTCTTCTCGGGACAGTCATTGTATAATATTTTTAGAGTCAGTCCGTGGACATTGTCATTACTTTTTCGTGGTTGTGTGTTTTTTTTATATATATTGTCTTTTTATATTATTTATTTGCCATTATTGGAACTGTGGCGTTTTAATTTATTTGCCTTTTAATTTCATAACCTCACTTTAATAATGTCTTATTTTTTATAAAAACACCTTAAAACAATTACTCAACAAAATTATATACTACGGAGACATTAGTTACAAACGCTTTGGCTAAAATTAATACCATAAAAGAAATGTTTAAATCGACCAAACTGGAATAGTTTCTCATAGCAACAAGTACTTGAAGTAATTTTTTAATTATTTTATCCAACACTGTAAAATAATATTTACTCTGTGCCAGTTTTAATAGTTTAATGTACAATAAACAGTATTAAATATAGTAGACAAGTATTCATTAATTGTTTTTAAATGAATTTCCATCAAGTAAATAGACGACTTAAACACGTCCAATACGGTTTGTCTTCAAGACGTACAAAACTGGATATCTTAAAGACGCCTTTAAAAAATCTTTTGGATATTAGCGTAGATTTTCAAAACGGTACGAACGTTGTAAACAAACGTAATTAAGATGTCTTTAAAACGTGTCTGTGCTATCTGGGTAGTGTCATTCTTTATTAAGTAAAAAGAAATCTTTTTGTAATACATGTAGATCATTATGTTTTATGTAGCGGAATTAAAAAAAAAAACACTCATTTTATTATGTAAACGATTTCATTTAGTTTTTTTTTTCTTGTGCCTTATTTATTTTAAATTTTACGCTTTGAACTTGCTTTATACCTAAAAAGACCAATGAAGTACTAATAACATAAATACAAGTTCGTTTTTTTATTTACAACATGTTACGCCTTTGGTCAAATATCCTTGGTGTCAAAATGGCACAAGATTTTCAGCGACGTTATGAGTCCTCTCTTTATTACCTAGTCTAAGGACATAATTATGGTTCCACTGACAATTAAAGTGACAGTAGATTTTTTGAGTGCGTTTTGTTCGTTTTGTATACCTAAATTATATCGTGTTTTCACTTCTATAAATATATTCCTAAAGTAAGTAGATAACATGCGTCAAATATACAATCGTTTAGTTACCAATTACATACCTTTAAACTATTTTTTATGACCTGTAAACAATATTTAGAAATAAATTAAAAACCGTAAAAACGTATATGTCAAATTTATTGATGTTTTTGTTAAAAGTTTGGTTAGAATTAAATGTCAGTGGAACCAAAATGACATCACACCGAACTAGCGTATAAAGTTGGTATTTTTTTATGAACTGTCATTTTAAGTTTAATGGCATATATTTATGTACCTTGTAATTGCAATTTATTGATATTTTGAGTTATTTATTATTTTTGGTTATTTCGTTATTATTTTTGGTTATTTGGTCATTATTTTTAGTTATAAAAAAGCTGTTCTTTTAAGAACAACCATATTATCTTCCTAGCAGGTTTAAAAATGCCAAAGAACGCGATAACAATGGTCCTTTACTACCTTTAACTGCTGTTAGAGAAGGTTTTACTGATATTGGGGTCTATTCTGTAACAATTCCTTTATATTTAACGGCCTTTAAAAATATTTTCTTCTTTAGTTCTGTCATTATTTAAACGGATCTTTAAAATACATTAAAGAACTATCTTAAAGAAATCTGTTTAAGTAATGACAGAAGTAAATTAGCGAATACGAAAATATTTTAAAGGCCGC